CCACAGCCAGAGCAATCTTTTTAACCTCATCTTTAAATTCCTTGGGTGCATCACTATCTGCCGAGGCTAGGTTTTGCGCCCAATCGTAAGCGGCTCTTGCAAACAATGATCCTGCTGTAGAAGCCTTAATAGAGGAAGACAAGGCCTGTTTCTACGAAGGGCCTGTTCAATCCTCCTATCCGTGTGTTCCTTGGGCATGCCATCTGCATCCATAGGAAGCACTGAATTGGAGTACAGACTAGTGACAGGGTAATCTACTACTGGAATTTTGAGTTTTTTATTAGCTTCAGGCATTAAAGGAGTAAAGCTTAGAGAAAAGATGATGGTTAGCCTTGGGTTTGGCCGGTTGGTCTCACTCAGCTTTCATGATATTGTAGAATGAGGCTGGGAGTGGTAAACCTGGTTGAGAAACAGAAAACTTAGGCATCAATTTGCCTGTACCTGTCTGAAATTCTGATTCCTGTTCAGCCTCCTCCTTTGGTTTCGCAGAGAGATCTAAAGTTCTTAGGACTTTAGGCAGGAGGCGAGAGTAAAGCTCTTGAGGGAAGAGTCTAGATTGAGTTGCTGGAACCTCAACCTCCTCTTCCGCAGATAATTCTCCTTCCTCTCTCTCTAGGGAGGAAATGGAGGACTCTGACTCATCATCTCTGGTATCTAAAAGAGGGCTACGCTCCCTAATCGGAGACCTGAGTTTCTTCTGTTTAGGTCTAGGAGGAGATCTGGATGGGCTGGAAGAATCTTCTTTCTGGCTGGATCTGGCTCTTTTAGAAGCTCTGCCTCTTTCCTGCTGGAAAGTTGTGCCTAATAATGTTTTCTGAATCATTTCTTTACACTCCCTTCGCATTTCTCCTTTAAACCATTGCAGGATCTCTGACCTATCTGTCTCCTTGGCTTCCAGGCCCAGTCCTGAGATGACAAAGAGACCAATGATCTGGGGATATTCAATTCTCCCAGGGGACTGTCTCTATCTTGAGACCTGCCCGGATTGGCCCTGTCAATCATTTTCCTCAACCTGTGGGGAGGATTGAACAAAAAAACCCAGGCCCAGTTTTCCAGGCCCCTCTCTCCTTTACTTGCTACAAATAAGCCTCCCAGTAAAGGAAAAAAACAGGACCTGTTTAATTCTGGGTCAATTCCGGGGGAAATTTATGCTTATAAGCTATTCCCCCCCTCCCCGGCTGGTACAGAGAAACGAAACCGAAATAGCCAGCATTAGCGGTTTCCCGCCAGAAACCTTCTCACCCCAAACTAACTCCAGGAGGGGGGAGGAGTTCTACTCCTAGGATAATTTATCCCCACCTCCTCATCCTGGCCGCCGGGCTATCTCTATGGGTATCGGGGAGAAGTCCCCCCCCCCCGCATAACATCCCCTGTCCCCTGTATCCCCTGTATACGACCCCTGGCAAGGGTCATTCATCTGTTCTCCTGTCCCAAAGAAAGGTTACTCGGGAGTAAGGAGGCTAACAGAGAGATGCCAGGCCTTACCGCGATTCAGGCGAGCATATAATCTTTCGACACCTCCTTTGTCGTCCGCTCTCGTGGGGGGGGGTCACAGAGCCTCTGGCCCCGTCCTGCTGTGACGATTCAGACTCTACCGCACTCCCTCGACCGATTAGGAGCAGGCTCTCTGCCCCCAGGCAGGTAAGGCCAGCGGGAGTCCTAATGAGGTGCTAAAGAGCCGCTGTGGCTAGGAATTTCCCAGCCCAGCTAAGGTCTCTTAAGAGGTTACGCGCCTCTCTCTCCCTCTCTCCAAGAACGTGGTTGCCGTCTTCCTTCTTCTTTTCTTCTCTTCAGTCCAAACTGTGCTATGCAGCACTGTCCAGGCACGTCCTGCACCAACACAGGGTCAGCTAGAACTGGGAAGCCTACAGGGGATAAGCCCCTCCCTGCCTGGATCAAAGCCCAGAGCTGACCCTGCGAAGGAGGGTGGAGCTTATCCCAAGCGTGAGGACTGTCCCACGTACTGAACCACTGGAGAAAATCCCTTTTGCTTTCTACAATACCGATTGGGGTCGGCACATGCGCACTATATCTCAGAGATGTGATGCACACAGACCACAAAGAAGATCTCTGCTTAGGATTGCACTGTAAACATCTCAGCTTGGACAACAACCTTCTCTGCCAGTGGGTTTGGGTATATCATCTCGTCAACCCCTTTATATTTCTCTTCAACAGCCTACTCTACCTTGAAGAAACTCTTGACAGTCATATCAACACTAATTAGTAACATGCAGGAATATGTACAATTATTTAATGAATCACTTTGCATGGTTTCAGACTACAAACTCACGGACTGTAATGTGTATTTTGTAACCATTTGTATTTTGTTTACATATATTAACGAAAAAGGGAAAACAATAGGTTGGATCCAAAGATGCTGTTATGGCAGCAGAATGGCACTTCTATTAACAGAGGAAGGAGGACAATTTTCACCAATTTCCCCTTCCCACTGCAGATCCCCACTTAGCTCCCACACTGTTCCTCAGGATGCCTTCACAACGGAACCAGAATTCAAGGGAGGGTCAGTAGGATGCAACAAGAGGAAGGAGGCAGCAACATTCTACTCTGCCAGTGTTGCTCCACTAACAATGCTTTAGATCCAATTCAACATAAAAATGAATAAAGTGTCTAAATGTAAAACTCTGAAATGGTTCATAGACCCAATCAGTAAGAAGAAGAGTTGGTTTTTATACCCCACTTTTCACTACCCGAAGGAGTCTTGGAGCGGCTTACAATCACCTTCCCTTCTTCTCCCCACAACAGACACCCTGTGAGGTAAGTGGGGCTGAGAGAGCTCTGAAAGAACTGCGACTGGCCGAAGGTCACCCAGCAGGCTTCATATGGAGGAGTGGGGAATCAAACCTGGTTCTCCAGATTAGAGTCCGCTGCTCTTAACCACTACAACACAAATCCCTCAATAAAATGCTGACTAGTTTAAGAGGATGGTCTATAAGAACAGCATCATGTAACGAACTGGCACCTATAGAAGACATTTCTTCTGGGCAAACCTTGTAATCTGAGTCTATTATGCAAGCATTATGTACACTATGAACTAGCCTAAAGAGAGAAAATGGTAAAAGAATAATCTCTGCAATAACCACGAAAATACTTTATCTTTCCACATTTGCCTATATCCAGTGCAAAATTTATGATTTCCCAAGCTAAATTCACCCAACCATACAGAGACCCAAGAAGGACTACATCAACCTCCTGTCAGTACAGCCTGGTTAGGCCCAACCCACAACAAGAAGGGAAGGGGGCCACAACACAAGGCTGGCAGGTCTCCTTCAGCTTGATGGATCACAAATTATGCAAGTCTGATGTTTGTGTTAGTTCCTAACATGGCCATATGTGATCCTTATTAGTTAACATAAGCTAAATGGATTTGCTTCTCATGCCATGTGCTTAATACTGATGTGACAACCATACAGCACCAGTGCAACTTACCCTGCGCTCATCAACTGATTTTGCTGCAGAAATCATTCCATCTAAACATTTTGAGATGATCGGAATAACTTTGCGCTCAGAATCAGCAAACCCTTTATAACATTCACTGAGTTTGATGGTTCGTCGTTCATCCATTTCTTGAAGATGCTACAACAACAAGGAAGAACACCTGAGCATCCTTTACAGTTTGATATTCTTTATTGGTAGACAGTCTATATACATTGGGCCACATCTCCATCCCTACTTTTTATTTCAGTTTCGGTTCTTGACCCTGTGCAATATTATTAATAAAACATCTGGAAAAGTGCCATGGATAAACTGTATAAGCACTGTGTCTATTACATTGTTCTCTAATTTTTTTAATCCAGCTTTATTACATTGTTGAATGCATGCCAGTGTTTCACTGCATGGTTCTACATTCCTGTAATTCCTGTTTTACTGTCTGTATTATACTGTGTGTTTAGTGCAATGTTTCCTAATTTTATGGGCTGCATCTATTATACCGTTCTTACTGCATTGTTTTTAGTTGTAATCCACCTTGAATCTCAGTAAGAAAAATGGTCTAGAAATGAAGTAAATAAAGTGGTATGACAACTTAACAGCTAACTTTTTCACCATGACAAGCTAGGCTTGGCAGAGGTAAAATTAACTGAAGTTTAAGAGTCAAGAGCAGACATAGGAATGTGATTGTCTTGTGCCCCTCCCCTCTCTGAAGGTATAATGTTACATGTTGCCATCCTAGGTTAAAATGAACACAGGATTGCCCTTAAACATATTCTGTGAGCTGTGTTTTCATTAGAACTCTTTGAGTGAGTTCAACCACACTGATTTTCTACTTAACAGAGCAATCATATGCCATGGCCTCTAATTTCTGAAAGAAAATGTTGAATACATTAAGTTGCCTTATTCTGGATCAGACCACTGGTCCATCATGGTCAGTATTGTTGATTTAGACTGGCAGCAGCTCTCCAGGGTCTCAGGTAGAGGTCTTCCACATCAACTACTACCTGATCCTTAACTGGAAATGCTGGGGATTGAACCTGGCAGATGCTCTACCACTGAGTCATGGCCCGTCCAAAAGGAAAGGAAAAGAAATAGGCCCTTACAAAAACTCAGCCAAAGCAATCCCTTTTTAAAATTAATAAATTTTTGTTAAACAAGATCCAAGACAACTATTGCTAATGGATGGCTTTTCCAAACCATAGTTTCCCCATGGCATCAAAACAGCCCAAAGAAAATTTCAAAAGTAACCAACCCTGTCATCCTGCCCCTATCAAGGTAGACTCCTAATTTTATAAAATTACCCATAAAAATGAATCAGAGGGCTTCCGGTTTATACCCATGGCATCAAAACAGCCCAAAGAAAATTTCAAAAGTAACCAACCCTGTCATCCTGCCCCTATCAAGGTAGACTCCTAATTTTATAAAATTACCCATAAAAATGAATCAGAGGGCTTCCGGTTTATGGCGACACGCAGGTAGACGCATCTCCCGGATGTCCCGGGGATGCAAACTGCACACCAGCGTGTAGGAGGGGGTGCGACGGGTCGCGACCCCCCCGGAGCCTTGGTAAAAGGCTCCTAGCCAGGGGGCTTTTGAGGGGCTACCTCTTCGATGGCGCGATGCCGGAGAATTGAGGCGCTCCTCCGCCCCGAAGGTCCTGCCGCTGAGTGACCGAATGGTACGAGTGCTGCTGACTGGGACAAGCGTTGGAGATCGGGCGAAAAAAACGATGCCGAGCGAGGCCAGTTGGCCAACAACGAACTGTGAGTCAGGTTGAAGCGAGTATGAAGAAATAAAAAGAAAGCTGCCCCCCTTAAGAGCGACGGAAAGTGAGCGGGGGAGGGGCCCCTCCCAAACATATAAACGAAAACATGGAAATAAAGAGGGGGAAGCAGAAAAATAAGCGGCTAAATCTGTTTTAAGAGACTTACCAGAGCGCAGATGTATGGGCGAATATCAGAGACTTTAGCAACTTTAAGAAAAGTAAATAATCCAAAAAGATGGCGGGGAAGAAACCAGATAAAGACAAACTGTTGAAAGTGAAATTAGTGGGCAGTCCTTGAACGGAAGAGACCACTGAGCTTTCTAAACTTTTGGCAGATTCCTTGCGCCCTCTGCTGGAGGAGATGACTAATATCAAGCAACAATTGTCAACAATTGGTCAGAGTTTGGCTTCACAGCAGCTACAATTGACTAAACCTTTAAATGCAATGGAGCAAATGGCAGAGAAGATGAAGGAAATGGATGCCAATACTACAAAAGTCAAGAAATACCGTATTTTTCGGACTATAAGACGCACCTGACCATAAGACGCACCTAGTTTTTAGAGGAGGAAAACAGGGAAAAAAATATTCTGAACCCTGGGGCTGTCATTCCAGTTCCTGAACACTCCTGGCCCTGACTTTGAATACCAAGAGAAAGACAGAGAAAAGGAGAGGAAGGGAAAAGTTGAGTAAAAAGCTCCTTTACTGCTGAGAAGAAGAAAAAAAGATTGGTGCAAACAATCAAACGGTAAGGCGAGACTTTCTTGGAGGGGAGGGGAGGGGAGGGGAGGGGGGACGCTTGCAATACTCTTTGAAAGGGCCAGGGAGGGAGCCTGCTGGGAGGGCAGGTGATTTGGTTGCTGCATAGATCAGTTTGTATTCGGTCCATAAGACGCACACACTTCTTCCCCCACTTTTTTTTGAAGCAAAAGTGCGTCTTATAGTCCGAAAAATACGGTAGGTGCAAAAGCTGGAAATGAAACAAGCTACGGAAGAGTCACAACTTTTGCAGCTGCAAATGGAGAAAGCAAATTTGGTCCTTCGGTTCCAAGGGGTCCCGGAAAACAAAGGAGAGAATCTGAAGCAACTGCTGAGTTCCTGAGAACACAGCTGGGGGGACCAGCGGAGGACAAGAAAGAAGAAGAAGAAAGCAAATCAGATGGCGAGTTAGGCTCGGTGTCTTCTGACGAGGACTCTCTCTCTGAAAAGGGGGAGGCAGCCCCCAAAAGTCCATATAAATTGAGGATAAGAAAAGATAAGAGAAAATAAAGGCTGAAGGACTCTGAATTGTACCTGAAAATTTAGACGTAACTTTGGGATGCTCTGATGGTTTCATTTAACAGATAAATAGATGGTTAAAAGGTAAATAACTTAGCTTAACTGACAAGGTTCAATGTATTACTAGCATTTTAGAATAATATTGAAATAAGCTGATGTATTGATCTCCTATTGAAGGACTCTGAATTGTACCTGAAAATTTAGAAATAACTCTGGGATGTTCTGAGGGTTTCATTTAACAGATAAATAGATGGTTAAAAGGTAAATAACTTAGCTTAACTGACAAGGTTCAATGTATTACTAGCATTTTAGAATAATATTGAAATAAGCTGATGTATTGATCTCCTACTCTTGGGGTTTTAGTCATTAGTGGGTTTCTTTTCTTTCTCCTTAGGGGTAGTTTCCCTTCCCTTATTTTCAGTTGTAGTTTGTAGTATTGTAAAAAACCAATTAAAAACTCCCCATGAATCAGACAGTGAGATTTAATCACACTGGGGCAATAGAGGAGATAGGAACTTGCATTTGAAAACCAAACCTCCACAAACGAAACCTGGATGCATTCAGCAAAGCTGTTAGCAGCTACACAACTCCAAACTCAGCCACAGGAGACATATGAACGCCGTTCTACAGGTCAATCCCAGACTCCTAGTCCCTTCATCCAGGTTATATTTGATGCCTGCACCAGCCTCCGTCTCAAGGAGAATGAGAATCTCGAGACAGAGTGAGGAAACTACTGTCTTAACATCCAGTAGTTTCTGTTTTACATTAATCACTGTGCTGCCCTCCAAGTTGTTTTTAAACAACTGAAGTGCTTCTGCTCAAAGGAGAAAGGAAGAATATGAAAGATCCATTTGGCAAGTACACAGTCTTCATGCATTTAAAGGAACTGGACTGTAACCTGTAGTCTTGTATTCAAGAGCCAGCACACACACACCCGAACAACACAATTCTGAAAGCCCATTTCTGCTTTCCTAAGTGCAATGTAAGAACTGTCATTAGAAAAGGGTAAGAATGACTTCCTTAACAGGAACAAAATGGTAACACCATTTGTTTCCTCAAACATTTCAAGAAAACGGTGAAAATGGAAGCTGTATGGTTTTAACAATAAATCATGCGGGGCAGACTTGTTCTTCAGATATTCAATACAAATGTTCCACAAAACCTGTATTAATTTCTATTTTTACTACAAGAAAAATTGTGGTTGTAAATGTTTTATATTGCTCTAAATACCCATTATCAATGGGGATTCATTTTTCTAGTAGTATGGAAAGCACAGTTACAGCTGCTGCTTCTGAAGTTATCCTGGAAAAATATTTTATTGAAAAATTTATTCAGATTTCTGAAGTATCAAGAAATTCAAACAATGGATTTTTCATTTTTGAAAATATGTCCCTGCAAGTATTAGAGAACATGACAAGGATGTGTTTTGTTTACACCGCTCTCTTGACAAAGATGATGATCAACAGAAAACAATCTTGGTGGCATTATTGGCACTAAACTATCAAGAAACTCAGGCCTTTCTTTAGTACTCTGCTATTATGGTATTTGGACAATACTTTGTGTCAGAGAAACACCCAGGTTGCTAGCAATCTAGTACCAATGCCTCTGTCCCACAGGAATAGCATGGGGGGCATACTTTGGGCTGCAGCAGGAGGTGATGAAGTTCCATTCCATGTACAGAAATCCCTTTGGTCAGAGTTTTTCCATGAGATTGAAGCAAGGTGCACAGCTTTCAGAATTCTTGTTAGAAAAATAAATCTGCTGAACCAAAGGGAATAGTTGTCATGGTGTACTTATTTGTCCAACTGAAGACAGACCATCTCATTTCCGGGTTTAAAAACCTGAGGTACACCTTGAAGCTGTCTCCAAACTCCTTTTTTATTTAGAGAGAAAATACAAGGTTTACCTTGTAAATCTGAGGAATGACAATATAGAAATGCTTGTGCTGTTCACCATTGTAATTTTGCAGCTGGGCAGCATATTCATTTTTGTTTTCATCAGCCATGTGTGTACGCAGGTTTAACTGCTGCTTGGCCTGACAAGAGACACACAGATAATAAAAGTTTTATCAGTATTTTTAATATGATATTACTTAGTAACATGCTCACCACAAGCAAAAATGTTGTTTTTGTTAGCATTTACAATGTTTTAGTATTTTAAAGGTATCCTTTCCTTAGATTTCGCAGGGTCATGGAATATTTTACCATTTATGAACATTCATAAACATTTTTTACATCCTCCACAACATTATCTTATAACTATTTAGAGGAAAAAGTAAAGCTTCTAGCTTTTTAGCTGGGCATTCTAACACACATTCTAAGGAAACAGATCTCATAACTATTTGTGGCTCTTTTACCTTTCTTAATTTAGGCCTAAAAAGCATTGTTTGAAACTACTATTCAGTTATCTAGCATAAAAGCAGATGTGCCAGTAAGAGACACTGCCTGATTAAGGGAGCACAGCTCCACTGATGTGTCTTGTGCCATGCTCACCAACAAAATGAACAGGCATGGCATGTACTCCTGAAAAGTATATAAGAAAAAATACTGTTATGTATACTCTGTCATTAAAAGTATTTTACTAAAATTTCCTTTCACCCATAGTTACTCTGGCAATGATATTTAGTAAACAGTAAATTCAAGTTGGTCAAAATACTGATTCAGTGTGCCTTTTTAAAATATAACATCATTCCACCAGAATGATGGTATTCAGAAATGATATCGCTTACTTTCTCAACATCCGCTTTAGTCGCATTGGTATCATTGTCCAGTCTCTCGTAGCACTGCTGAGCCTTCTCTGCTTCTTTGCACTCCCTCTCAAATTTCTTTTTGCTCTACAAAGTAATGAAGCTTTATTAGAGTTACAGATCAATACAGTACAATTTTACTTTTAAAATACATATTTACAGCTCAGAGTGTAGCATTTCATGCTACCCCAGAGTGCCTGGAGTACCTACTAATGGATGCTTGGCCAGAAAGCTGCAAAACCCTTTAAGTACTTGGCACCTGCCTTGTGTGACTTTGACTTCTCTTTCCTCACCATTCCACCAAGCCCTTAGGACAGTATTTTCAGGATGCCTATGATGCTTCCCAGAGGTTAAGTAGCAGCCCATGCCTTTAGGGTTTTCAGTGGCTTTGGTGGCACAATCTTCAAACACATTTAGAGATATTGGATCAACTATGGCACAACTATGGCTCAAATTGCATTGCATGTTGACTCATTAATTTAGTACAATTTGAGGCTAAATTTCAAAAATATAACTGAAGGGTAGATTTGATAACATTTAAAATAAATTAAGTAGGCTTTATCTCATTAAAACAGATTATTAATTACAATTTTTATATGGGGCTAAAGATAAATACTTCAATTTTCATTTCTTTGAGCAATTCAGAAGTCACTGGCAAAACTCTCACAAGTTTTAAAAGATCTGGACTGCACCACATACTCAGTTCTTCCATTCTATTAAGATGTTGCTCTGGGCAACCACAACAGAGCCATGGGGCTGTGAGATATGTCCAATAAATTCTAATACAGCTGAATTCTAGTTAGTAAATCCTTCAAGTCAGTATTCCTGTAGATAATGGCCTGCTTATTTAGAAATTAGCACCATAATGACCTACGTAAACATAGTAATTTATCTTGTCTATTTAACAATGAAACCAGTGTGATGGCTCAGTGATAGCAAGGTTAACACACAATTCCTTTCTTTGGCAACAATTGCCTACCAAGATGTATAATCCTAAAGTTGATAGGAAAGAAAGGCAGAAAGGAACACTCACATTATCCATCTGCTTCCAACACATATCGAGATACTGTTGAGCTTTTCGACCTTCTTGAAGGTGCTGCAAGATTTTGAACATGAATTATTAAAATAATTTTGAGAAGGTACCGATACATGCATATACTTCCTCAAACTGCAGCACTTATTCTAAGACTGAGTGGTGAAAATGAACAGAAAGTAATATTAGGAGTGTACACAAATTATTTTTTTTAATCCAACCTTATTAATGCTTAGAGAAAATGTACCATTACACTAAAACAAGTTCATCCAGCAGAAGAGATCAGTCTAAAATTTGTTGCCCGCTATAACAAAGAAACAAATTATTACGTACATTCTACTGGCATGAACAGTTTAGCAACATAACAGTACTAACGGGAAAAAATTACCATTTTCCTTTCAGTCTTGAGTTCCTGGGAATATCTCAGCAGTTCTCCATATACCCTATATCCCAGTTCTTCTGCTACTACTTCTCGCTGTCCTGCGTAGTCATTTAATTCATTAAGGATATTATAAAAGGCTACACATGAGGTAAACCTGATAAAACACAGAGGAAAAGGAAAAAAGGCACAGCTTTTGTTTCATAAAGGGATTAAGGAAACAGATCAGCATGGTATAGATGTCTTAAGCAAACGTTAGTTCAACTGCTCAAATAGATAAACAATGAAGGCGCCCAATGCACACTTCTCTTCACACATAGTTTACATAGAAACAGATTTCAAGAGGTAGAAAAGAATAAAGAATACTACCTGAAAGGCCCTGCAGTATAGTGGTACATCCTAAGATGCAAAATGGACTGAGCTTAGAAATTGACTTAAATTCCTAGGTTTGGGAAGCTGAACTTGTTGCAGAGATGATTTGCTTGGTCTTGAGGGTTGAACATGCCAATCATACCACTCACATGCATCCCGATGGATGATCTACTGAACAAGTTTGCTACCAGCTCTGGAGACAGCTGCCTGTTTGCCTGCTCACCTCTTGGGATGGAGGGAAAGGTGCCACACTATTTATTGCTGGCACTAAAAAGGGGGGAGTAGGAGGGGGAGGAAGGAAAAAAAAATAAGGGTAGAGAGTATATGTGAAAGGGGAGAAACAAACAAACAGAGTCACTGTATTAAAAATAGACCTCTCTCATAAACCTGTGTGGAAACGTGTGCCCTCTCTAAAGTTGTTGTCTTGAATTCCATTGACAGATCTGGCAAGTCCTATTATCCATAATGCTTGGAGGATGTTAGAGTAACATGGAGGCACTCACAGTTATCTGCCATGAGAAATGAAAGTGAACATATAAAGAAACTGAATTTCATTCAGTGTTTCAGTGTTGGGCTAGATGATCCACAGGGTCCCTGGTAAGCCTATGACTTATCTTCTTTTTAATATGGGCTTCCTTTTTTAAAAGAACAGTAAAGGCATGACTTAAATCATCCCCAGCCTGGACATCAAGGGAAAAAACATATACTCCTTATGCTGTGCTCACATTGCCAACAATGGAATAACCTTCGGTTCTCTAAATCTGTCTTAAAGCAGCCATGCAACCCAAGTCAGTGTACTGATATAAGGATGTTTTCAGTGGGAAAAGGGTCTATGTTCCCCCTCATAGTATGCTGAAATGCTACTGATTAAATGAAATACAGGACAGAGAGAAAGTTAGTCCTTAAACACTTAAGAAGAAGGGGAGAGCCATACCACACAGCAAGCCTACTATCTATGGCAACCTGTAGTTCCTCTAAAGCACTTTACTGCCTCAGAGAGGAATAGGTACAGGAACTCTTCTGTACCATGTAGTGTTTTCCATTGCAAAGTGTTTTCCCACTTGAGGACAAAGGAATAACCCAAATTACATGAGCACAATGGTCTGTCTAGATTTTCAGAAGAAAGCAGCATATTTTTTAAAGATTTAATCTCTTTTCAATCTTTTGCAGAAAGCATCTTTCAATCTCAAACCTGCATATTCTATAGGAGAGCCATGTTTGCTGGGTTTTTTGGCTGCAAAAGAGTGGCTGTGCGAAACCAATATAAGCTCACTGACTTTAATGTACTTAGAAGGGTATAACTCTGCTTAGGACTACACTGTAAGAGACCTAAGGTACCTTCAGGACTAAGGGCTGTACGCTATGAACTGAACAAAGACGATACATTCTGCCTCTCCCAACTTCTCCAAAAAGCTGAGGCTGAGAGTTGTAGGACCTCTTCTCCGAAAAGCTGAGGCTGAGAGTTGTAGGACCTCATGGTCAAAATGCTGTTATGCATGGAGGGCTGCAACCAAGAGGGAAAAGTGGCTAGCGCCTTATTCTTCCATTGCTGGAGTTTTCAAGAGGCTCAGCTGATGCAGGGTTCCCCCTCTTCATTGTAGCCCCTCATGGTATTTCGTACATGAGCCTCCTGTGACTCACATCATCAACTTTTTGGACATCTTGGGGGACTGCTGGGGGAAGGAGATGGCAGGAAAGATTCAGCTATGAGAAAAATACAGAACACTTTGACAGTGTCAAAGATGCAAAGAACATGAAATTGAGCCAACTTCAGAGGACGGCGGAAGACAGGAAGGCCTGGCGGGAGCTGGTCCATGGGGTCGCGAAGAGTCGGACTCGACTGTGCGACTGAACAACAACAACAACAGCCCTAATATCTTTATGGTGGCATATGCTTTCATTGGCCAGAACCCATTTCACAGAATGCATTGTTACCCTTAGACGCGTGTCAGAACAACTCTGTTAGGGATGGATCCAGAAGAGCTCTTCTGCTGGAGTACCACCAGCTGTTCTGCTGGCAGACTCCCCCCTCTCACTGCAAATCCCCAGCAACAGAATCGTAGGGGGATCAATAGGTGCAACAAAAGGGAGGAAGCAAGGAGGCCCCATCTTGCAAGCCACGACCTGCTCATGAAACTATTTCCAACAACCCTTAAAGAGCCACAAAGCTCTCTGATGTTTAAAGTTTTATAAAAAACATGCTTTATTTGTTTTTGTTAACTTGAAGCCCGGATTCTAATAGAATTCACCACACATTTAAATCTCTCAGATCAATGAGGCATACATATGTAAACCTGTGTTTAGTGTTGGGGCCTCTTCCAAAGTACCTGCACAGGATAAATTGACTAGAACAATTGTCTGGTTTTGTCCAGCACTTTTTACAAAAACAATTAACATTCATTTTACCTGGGCTCTTCATCTTTGGATGAACGTTTAAGACAGTACTTCTTCACCAGATTTCTGTTAAGGGAAGAAAAAAATTACATCAGTTATAAAAGCACCTTTTAACGAGGTTTCAAAATATTTGTTGAAGGATCAGAATTCATCCCTGGAGAACAGGGAGGCTGGCATTTGCCCAGAATGCTCATATCTTTGTGCAGTGGATTTACATACTTTAGCAATTACTCAAAGAATGACCATGTTGATTGTTTATGTCAATAGGAATATGCCTTGATTCATCACAAGACTACAGTGCTGGTTTTCTTAACAGCAATAAATTTATCAGAAGCAAATATGCCTAGAAGTCTGTGCCAAAACTTTCCAATACCAAAAAAGCAACAATCCTTTTATTCACTGTTGCTTGGGAAAACCTGCAGTTCTTTTTCCTGTGTACAATTTAAGGAGTTGTTCTACAGAAAATTAAGCATCTCTATAAAGTGTCAGGGTGCACTAAGTGCCTTAATATCTACCAAAGAGTTCCCCTGCTAAATTAGCTGAACAATGCCGTTCATATTAATAAATGTAAACATTGTGCCTGAATCCTCAGACTTTCAAATGCAGTGGGCAGAAGGAGGGGAAATGTGTTAGACTTCTGAGACAGTTGGAACAAAGCCAACCAATTGTGTTAATCTCTTGCTCCTCAAGATAACAATAGCTAAAAACAAAGGCAGAAGCAAAAAAACCCCGTGTTTTTCCTATCTGCAACATGAACAAATTGCACTACAATTAATAATTACAGCAACCTCTTTAGCTGTCTGTTTTGGAAGGAGTAAAAAAGATACTTTGTTTCAGGCAGAAAGAACAGCGTATTCTCCAAATGATGCTGAAGAATAGCAGCAATGGAGTGACTGGCTTAATGCTTTTAAGAGTTCAGCAACAATTCCAAGGATTCCAGTGGCCTCAAGTTCCTTCACTGACCACAAATATTCCCACAAAGGAATAATGTATACATTTCATGTAATTCAACAGAAAACTTACGTTGTTTCCCAAGAGATAAATTAAGGAAATGGAACTACAAACTTCAGTAGAATCTTCTCTGTTGGCTACTAGTCCTAATGTTGATTTGGATCTTAAAGTCAAATGCACACTCTTGTTACACTTCTTGGGCATTATAAAATTTGTATTGTATTTCAGTTAACACCACAGTGTTCATCTGTGAGGCCTTAAAATGGGTGCAGTCCAAAAATAAAATATTTTACCAGCTTCTCAGATCTAGAACAGGGTGATGACAATACAAAGCTTTCCTCACAAAGAAAACATAATGTAGCTTCAATCCTAGACTTTGAGGTGCACTCACTCAGTGGCCTAACCAAACTTTTTACTAGAAAGTGGAGCTATTCTACCTTCAATTGACCACGGAAAGAGGCTTGATTTAGACCAAACAGCTTTTATATGTTTAGTAAATCCCATCCAAGAGACCATGGGGAAAAGCTGATCACTTTTTAGTCTGTTTTGGTCTTCAACCCATTGCCTTGAGAAAAACATGTGGATGTCCTCTGAACAACTGGTATGTTAAAACTCAATGATAACAGCTTTATTTAGGACCCACTAAAAAAAAAAAAAGTGTGTGACATGAGCAGTGACCAGGGTTCCCTCTAAGCTGAGTTAGTGTGAGCTAGCTCACAGTTTCTTAGTCTCTGGCTCACACATTTTTGTCTTAGCTCAGGAAGGAGGGCTCCAGAGCAAACTAATTTATGCAGCAGCCAAATCCCTCGCTCACAACTTTAATGCCAGTCGCTCACAAAGTAGAATTCTTGCTCACAAGACTCCACAGCTTAGAAGGAACATTGACAGTGACGTGGAAGATTTACTTCCTGTCTGCCTAAAAGGAAAGGAATATATTCTATGCAAATAAGTGTATCTCACAGGGAATTCAGTTAAGCACGGTAAGTATAAGAAAACATATTTTTGCCAAGATGTTGCATTAAAACCTACAATTCATGAACTGCATTCTGCTGAATAGATACAAAATATCTAGAACAACAAGGATAACAGAAATAGATTTTGTAAAGAAGGGCTAAGGTAAGCAAGCAAAGGTTTTTCCAGCTGATAACAACAGAATGACGCACCATGGAAAGCAAAATCCAAACAAAGAAAGTAAAGTTGAAGCTAATTCTGAAGTAGAATTTTGCAGATTTCATTTCTGGATGAAAATGTGGCATCACCATTTCCCCAGAGATTTCTGTTCTTTTAAGGTGCTTTGTGAAACTGCTCTTCTTTCTCAGATCCAGCAGCAGGGGGCCTATTCAGAAACACAGTTACCTAGCTTGTCCCCCTGCTACCCAATATTATTAAGGCATTCTAACATAAATGCACCCCAGGGTATATCTCAATATGACTTGCAAACATAACAGGGGGTGGGGTGGGGGGGTGGATATCAGGAAAAAAAAAAAATGCCAAACATAGTGCACTGGAAAAACACAAGTGGATATGTAATTTAATGGTTGCATTTGGGGGAGAGGGATTAATTTTAAATTGGAATTTTCGTCTATTTGATAAACACAAACAAATTCAGGGATTGTGGAACAATAAGCCTTTGTAAGAGCAGGCTAGTCTGAACATTCAACAAGAGCGGTGAGGCAGGTACTCTCCACTGGTAGTTAACCTCCTATTGTTTGTTGTTTGTTCCTTTGTTTTAGTTTGAAGAAAAGGCTAGGCAAACAAAGTGTCCTATCTTCTACAAATGAGGAAGACAGACTATTTACTTGTAAGAAATAAAATTAAACAGGGTCAAACTAACCTAACATGCCTAACAAAATATTGATAAGGATAAAGACAAATGTGGAAATAAGTCTACATAACGGTCTCTTACTGGTCAAAAACCAAAATATTCTCATTGCTGTCTTTTCCATGCCCCAAAGGCTTAAATTGCCACGGTCGCAAAGAGTCAGACTTGGCTGTGCGACTGAACAACAAAGTGATATGAGTGGTTGCATGAAATGGAATGCCCTCCCCTTCTTAAACTTTATGGAGGCCAGACTCAGATGTTCCAGCAATACAGAAAAGGGAAGCTACGGTACCCAAATAGGAAGGACTGTACAATTGGCAGCTGATTTGACTTGCAAAAACAAATTTGTTATTTTTAGAAGCAGAAAGCTAGATTCTAGCTTCCTTAAACATAAGAGTTCTAATTAGAACTGCAAGCTAATCAGCTTAATCAGTTGATAAATCATCTAAGGTTTCCATGAGGGAACTGTAATCAGTAGATCTGAACAGTAAGGGCATCTTTGTTTATTTTTGAGGCTATTTTAGTTCTAGTGTGTTAGTTTCCAGGAACACCATACTATATAATATGAAAAAATTAAATGGCTTTTCCAAACAATAAGTAATACAAGAAAGGGGACCCACGAAAATCGCGGGGGGGAGGAGCGGGGGAGCTCTACACAGAGCAGGGGAGGAGGAAGAAGCAGGTAAGCTTCCCCCCCATCCCGTTGGTTCCCCCGTCTCCTCCACCACCCTCCTCAACCCCCCGGCTCGCCCCCCCCAGTCTCTCTCTCTCCCCCCGTCTCTCTATCTCTATCTCTATCTCTTTCCCCCTTCAAAGCATGGCCCGCACGCCTACCATCCGCCGGGCCTCGCCGGGCTGTCTCCCCCCCCCCCCCTCTCTCTCTTCCCTTGTTCTCTCTCTTCCCCCCCACCTCCCTAAGTGCTGACAATTACGCTCTGCCCGATTTCTTATGTGGAGCTCACACGGAAATAGCTGCTTTTAAATCAAAGCTGGTGGGGAGAAGGAGCAGCGTCAGAGACGAAGGTGTCCGTGTGCGGGGCCGCTGGCAGGAAAGGCGCAGGGGACGCTCTGTGAGTTTCGGGGGGATTTAAACATCCCCCCATTTTTTTTTCAACATTTAGGATTTTTGTGCACACGTGGGGACTGCCCCACGTGTGCACAAACCTCTCCCTCCCCCCCAGGTGCCCCTGAAGTGCAGATTTAGATATCCGCACAGACGGGGCCACTTCACTATTAGATATATAGATTTCTGGTTAGCACTAGTTTCAGTATGCCAAACAAGCATCTTCACTAAGGGTGGTGCTGGGCAGGATTTCATGATCTCTAGCTGCATACTATATATCTAACAGCAAAGTCTGATCCCCATCTGTGGATATCTAAATCTGCGGATTGGGGCCACACTGATGTTTAACAGATTTTTCTGCAAACTTGTGGAACACCCTGGGTTTGCAGGAAAAAATTTTTAAAAATTTGCAGGGCTTAAATTCCTCCCACATTAAAAAGGCACTGTCTGCGCATGCACAGGCAATGCACTTACCTGGGAACTGCTCCAAGTGTGCAAGAAAATCTCTCTGCCCCCCAAGTGCCCCCAATGTGCGGATTTAGATATCCACACAGAGGGGGTAAGTTGGCTATTAGGTATATAGATGATTCATTAATGACCCTAGTTCCAGCCTATTTCTATTTTGTTTGATTTGTGAACTAGTGTTTACCATTCATGTATGTTATTATTTGTATACCGGGAGAGGGGCACAGATATATGTGATATATGAGAGGAAATAATCTTTCTTATCATGCCTCTCCTACAAATACTTTTCAGCCAAGATAGATCATATATAAAGCTCCACTTCTAAAAAGTATCAGAAAGAAAGGATGCCAAATACATTACAGTACAATATACCAATAATCAAAAATAAAAAAGCAAAAACATCTTGCTGCTTCAGCCTCATACCTACACCTTCCTGTACATTACCTATCTTTAATCTACACATCCATTCACACTCTTAATCAAGTCAAAATGTTTTAAAATCTATCTCATCGTTATTCAGATACAGCGCTGTAACCAAGCAACTGTACAAGAGCCTTTTGAAGAGATTTTCTGCTGTAGTACAGATAAGAAAGGAAAGCTACTTAACAGGAAAGCTCAAAAGCACACGCATTCTGACATCTGGGATGGGCAGTAAGGCAGGATCATAATTGCAGATTAGCATGTGGATGGATCATAATTGCAGATTAGCATGTGGATGGCTTCCCTAGCTTCCCACATCTTTGTAATATGGCAATATCTGGCTAA